GCCATTTTGTGGGGTTCTGGCAAGGTTCTAAGGTATGCAAAGGGCTTAGAGGGGATGGGGAACAAGCCTACTGCAGTTTGCAGCACTTTTGGGTCATCTGAAGGGTGAAAATCACCCATAAAAAATATAAACCTATTTTAGGAACCCTTGGAGGGGCTCAGGGGCCACACTTTGGGGGCCCAAGTTCAGCATGTGGCCTATGGGTTTCAGTTTGCCCACCTTTGTTGTAGATCCTTGACAAGGAGCAGATAATATGGAGTTGAAGAGCATTTCAAGGAATCTTTAGCTTCCATGTGTTGAATGCTTACCTAGATTTACTCATTCATAACTGTTCTGAATCAATGGTTGCTGCTTAATCACAATTGTGATACTATTGATATGATTGTAACTTCCCCCTCCAACCTACTTTATGAGGCATCAACCGCATAGGGGGAAGGAAGTCCATTCTGCTAGCGATTGGAACATGAATGAAGTTTCTGTCAAGTTTCCTTTTTTGGGGGGAGGTCAGAGCAGGAGATTTTACTTGATTAAGGGCCTAAGCAGACGGGTGGCCATGGGCCGCCCTGGGAAGGTGTGCTGTGGGACCAAGGCATCCCCATGCCTCGATCCAGCAGCGCACCGTCGGCGCCCCTGGAAAGGAGCGCTAAAATAGCACTCCTTTCATATGTCGCTGAAAGTGCGCCTCAAAACGTTGCGACACACTTTCGGTGACCCTTCCGCCGCAGCGTGTCCGGACGCTGCGGTGGGAGGTCGTCCTTGGAGCGCCAGCTGTGCGGAGGGCCGGCGGCTCCGAGGACGACCTTGGGAGGGGGATGGGGCGCCAAGCATGCGGCTGCCCCTCCCCTTCCCTGCGCTAAGAAATAATCCAGTGTAACATCACTTAAACTGCCATGGCTCAATGCTGTGGGATATTTGGAGATGCCAGGAACTGCACTTGCCACCCTTCTCCGTGTAAAGCATGTGCTGTTACCACCAAGCCTTTCCTTGTGCCACAAAGTATGCCAACCATGACTTTTCAGAGAAATGGATTCTCAAAAGTACCTTGGATTTATTGGATCCCAATGTTTTCTGGAAATACAGGTTCTTTTTCTTTCTTTTTATTTCCAGGGCCAGTCTATGTAACTATGCTTCTTAGCTATGGGGCATTCCCAGATCAAATAAAATCTCTTTTTTGTTACCCTGTTGGGGAGAGTGCCTTCCCTCTTTAAAACACACACAAGCTGCAACCAGGAGAGTATCGAACCGGAGAAAGGAGCAGAATCAAAGGCAACAGAGAACAAAGCGGTGTATGATGCCCAGGGTGCAAAGGAAGCCACAGCGTGCCACACAAACACACACACACACACCCTGCTAGCCACGTGCTGCAGGCTGGATTTTATCAGCAGGTGGAAGGGGGAGAGGAGGCTGTCAGGTGAAACAACTAGTCTCCACTTTCTTTTCTTTTTCAATACACCGCTAGCAATATTCTACACTTCAAAGCTGGGGCAACCTGCCCAGGAACATGTCAACCTTTGGCACAGTTATTTCTCTTTCCCAAACTTAAAAGCACTTGACTGAAAATGGAGTGGGGAGGGGGAACTGACATTTTCTTTCCCTCAGCCTTTAGTTAGTTTTCTTTACCCTGCTAAGGAGGATACAAAAGGATGGTTCTCGGAGATAATTGAAGCCCTGAGTGAAGGAACTTGTAAAACTGACTCATTCCAGCTCAAAGCATCGAACTCAACATGGTCTGTGGCTAAGATCCTATTTGATACTGTTGTTGTTGTTAACTACCTTCAAGTCAATTCCAACTCATGGCAACCCTATGGATGAGACATCTCCAAGCACCCTATTCTTCACTGATCTGCTTGGTGGTGGTGTGCAACTTCAAGTCATTTCCAACTTATGGTGACTCTAAGGTGAAACTATCATAGGGTTTTCCTCGCAAGATTTGTTCAGAGAAGGTTTTGCCATTGCCTTCCCCTGAGGCTGAGAGCATGTAATTTATGCAAGATCACTCAGTGAGTTTCATGGCCAAGTTGGGACTTGAACCATGGTCTCCAGAGTCATAGTCCAATGCTCAAACCTTACCGTCTCTCCTAGCTCCTGTAAATTCATACATGCGATCTCCTTAATAGAGTCCATCTATTTAACATGTAGTCTTCCTCTCTCTCTACATCCCTCCACCTTTCTAAGCATTCATGTCTTTCAAGTGAGTCATGCCTCCTCATGATGTGACCAAAGTACAGCAGCTTCAAGTGAATCATCTTGGCTTCCAGGGAGATTTCAGGCTTGGTCTGCTCTAGGGCCCATTTGGTTGTCTTTTTGGCTGTCCATTGTATCCTTAGCACTCTTCTCCAGCACCACATCTCAAATTAGTTTATTTTTTTTCTTATCCGCTTTCTTCACTATCCAGCTCTCGCATCAGTACATGATGAAATACGAAGGCTTGTACGATTCTAATTTTCATGCTCAGTTGTATATCTTTACTCTTTAGGATTTTCTAGTTCTTTCATAGCTGTCCTCTTTTACACTGCTAGAGAGTAAAGCTCTACCACCACACTTATGGAAGAGATTGGGACAGTGATGTGAGCCAACCATTTTATGGCATGTGGGAATTCCCCCAGTGGCCAACCAGTGGCTATTTGCATCTGGGAATGTGGAGATCCACTATTCAGGTGCTACTTAGCTTATGTTGCACAGTCTGGGAAAAAGCATTATACAAGGAGGTTCAAAAGTGCAGGCATAGCTCAATTGACAAAGCTTCTGATAGTGAAGTTTCTCTTTATGCCCTACCCAGATCCTTTTGCTTCCACATCATCTATCTAGATGAAAAGTTTTTAAAAAGCAGCATCAGTATTGGGAGGATGTTAAAGGAGGTCTGAGAGATGAAGACTTTTGGTGTCAGGTTGCAGCAGCATGGCTGCAGTAAATCATGCAGTAAAACCTGAGCTGGAAAAGAATGGGATTCTAGCCAATCCTACTAAAGCCATGGGTGCCTGCCTGCAACAGACAAAATAAAAAGCAGCTGCCTCCCGAATTTCTTGCTAGGTGTGAACAGCAAAACAGAGAGAAAAGAGAAGAGTCTCACCAGACTGTTAAAAAAGCACATATAGGTATGACCACCAAAATGGAAATCATAAGGAAAGTAGTGAAAGAAAGAAAAAAGCCATCTCTATGTTTGAGGTGCCATCCCTGTTTGGGGGTAAAATAAATTAAGATATATGCATTTTGAGAGTAAATACTAAATGTGTATTTTGTGAAAATCTATTTCACATTCCTTCAAATATTACATTTCTCTATGTTTGGCTGTACAATCTTTAGCTCAAGGATATACCAATGCAAAATAGTTTGCATGATAAAATATGTAAAATAATGCTGTTTCGGGGTAAATTAAGATATATTTTGAAAGCAAATACTAAATGTGTATTTTGTGAGAAAATATTTCACAATTAAAATTTTATTATTATTGTTATTGTTATTGTTATTATTTCCTGCTTTCCCCCTAGAATTGAGACTCAAAGCGGCTCACATTTAAAAGAACAATACAATTGAAAACAGACAAAAAGAGAGTAATTATGAGAAATTCACATGGATTGAACAGAGCATGGAAAGGTTACACTATTAAGAGAAACAGTGTTCAATTCATATTGCTTCCAGAATAGCTACTGGCTATGCTGGCTAGGGGAATATAGGAACAGTAGTCTGCAAATGTAACTATCTACTCTCCCTCCTACCTTGCCATTACCTCTGCTAAAATTATACATGAATGTTGGGCAGCAATCCTCTTCCAAGCTTTGGGATCAGAGTGATCCGCCTATGTCTATCAGTCACTGAACTGTTGACTTTCCCTGATTTGGTGATGCAAAGTGTGCAAGATGTTACCATCTTTAAGAATTTCCAGTGCCTTGTGTATAAGTTGTTGATTTGTTCTGCCTGTGTATGTAATACTGTGAACTATAGCAGATGTACTGATATTTATCATCTTCCATTAGAAAGAATTAAGGCTATCATTCTTTGGACCTATCATAAGATGATATAAGAAAAGACGATAATGCTTGATAAAGTTGAAGGTATTATGAAAAGAAGAAGACCACCATATACATGGATTGATTCAATCAAGGAAGCCATGACCCTGAGCACAGAGCTGCTAATAATTGGGTGTGTTAGAGGCATTCATTCATAAAATCACTGCTAGTCGGAAGCAAACTTGACAGCTATTAAAGCAACATAAGGAAGCAGGACTCAAACTGTGCCTGAGGGTACCATTCTGGAATAGTTCACTGTTGTATGTGTGTATGTGCCTTCAGGCTACGTGTCAACTTGTGGTGACCCCATGAATTTCATAGATTTTCCTTAGGCAAGAAATACTCAGAAGTGATTTTGCCAGTTCCTTCCTCTGAAATATAGCCTGGTATTCATTGGTAGTTTCCCATTGAACTACTAACCAAGGCTGACCCTGCTTAGCTTCGAAGATCAGACAGAGTCTGGTGCCTTTAGGGTATTTAGGCCCGTATTACAGGTACATAAATGTGATACTGTACTTGAATTACTTTAGGATCTGTCTCACTCCCTCTCTCTGTTTTGTGGCTGAAACACCATAATACAACACATAACATTAATACATTAAACACTTACATTTTTAGATGCTTGGGATTTTGGTGATTTCCACGCAAGAGTGAACATAACTTTCTGCATGCATATTTGAATGAAATTCTCCATCCCTCAAACTACATTCATTTTTGGATTTTTTACCATTACCAGACACTGTGGATGAAACTTGTTGTGGAAATTCCCATAACACCCTTTTTCTGAACCTGCCAGAGACATGAATGAGCTGCTACAGCTAAATAAATAAAACTACAAATTCTCCTTCCCCCTGTGGGGACATTGGCTTTACTCACACTGGGGCAATGAACCCAGATCTATATGGATATTAGCATAACTTTTATAGACTAAATGAATGGATGAACTAACCAACTAACATATTTATATATATATTTAATGTGGGATATAAGAGAGCCAGCATTGTGCAATGGTTTGAGCATTAGACTACGATTTTGAAGACCAAGGTTCAAATCCCTGCTGGAGCATAAAAACCCACTGGGTGACCTTGGTAAGTCACATTCTGTCTGCCTCAGAAGACGGCAGGTTACACTAATTTAAAACCATGGACTTTTATTTGAAGGTTTTGGACTGGTGGAGCTGCGGTCCAATATCATTGGGAAGCCCACATGATTTCCACTCCAATATAACACAATAAAAATACTGTGAATATGTTCTTTGTTGGGTCAGCAAGGAAGTATTTGAGAAAAGATCTCAAAGGACTAAACTAAAGAAACATTTCCATTGTTGAGCAACAATTGAACCAAGTCCTTGGCAGCAGTCTTCCCAAAGGGATATGAGCTAGTGAACCCTTCATCTTTCTGGGTGTGCTGATTCACAAAGATCCAGACATGGTGGGTGACTCTACAACTGTGATTCATAGGTTTGGTCTTCTGAATGACCACTTACTTAACACTGCCTATAATAGAAGACTTCATTTTTTTTCATTGTGCTGGGTTCTTTTTTTTAATTTCCACTTAAGTATCATGTTCAAGAAGACCTTTAACACATTCCTCTCTCTGAAAAGAAACTAATCACCATTATCTTACACTAGAATAAATCCAACTGTTAGAGTAGATACACTGAACCAATGAGATGTAGCTGTTGACACATTGGATCCTATGTGTCAATAGGTAAATCCCATTGGTTCAGTGTGTCTAATCTAGTTGGGCCTAACAGTTGGATAGTTTATCCTATGTGTCAACTCACCATTCAATGACTGATTCATTGGGTCTGTTCTACTTAAAACAAATTGGTACAATTCAGGCAAGAGACACCCAAATGGCTTATCTTCCCTTCCCATCAAACTGGGCCTACAGTGGGCCTTTGGTATCTACTGGGGTTTGCTTCTCTGGGGATACCAAAATCCATGGATGCTCAAGTCCCATTATATTATGATTATTATGATCATCATCATCATCATCAACAACAACAACAACAACAATTTTATTTACTTATATCCACCTTTATCCCAACATAAAGACTCAAGACCTATGTACAATACAATATACATATATACAATGGCCTAGTAAAATGGGATTTATATTTTTAAAAATAGTTTCAACCGTAGATAGCTGAATATGTGGATAAAGATTCCATGAATATGAAGGGCTGATTGTATAGGCCAAATCCAGGTTTTGGCTGCCTCATTATCTCTTAAACCAGCCTATACAGCATCTATACACACTATCAGGATGTTGTCAGAAGTTAAAATGACAGCTTTCAGCAATCTTTGAGGTGCTGCTGCCATCACTGTGGAATATGTGTGTGTGTGTGGGGGGGTATCCCTCGGTGTAAGAAGGGGTCCACTAGAAAGCACTTATAATAGAGAGGGTCCACAACAGAGCCCCTCAAAACCAGAGCCAGCTCTGCCCATCAGAATGGGCTGGGCAGACATATACCCTGACCTGACATAAGGCAACCTCCTCTATTCCTGCTCTGTTCCAAGGATATCTTCTAAATCCTATCCAGAGCTGACATGAAAAACAAGCAAACCAAAAATGCAAATGTGAAAGCCACATTCCCCAAATCTCTGGCTGCTGACAGCTGAGGATAAACAGGATGGGTTCATGTCCCCATAGATCAGTGGTGTAAACTTTTTTTTTTCTTGGCAAGTGTGCCACAAGTCAAATTTAAAATATGAGATAGAGCTGCTTGAGTACACAATCCAATACCTATGTAGATGCCAGTCCCCATGAGCCAAGTAAACATGATGCTCTGGATGTAGGTGTGAAAGCAGTCCTGACCTGAGTTTGCAAAGGAAACCTTTTGGACTACAACTACAAGTTGATCCAAAATGCTGGAGATCAGAAGTGTTTTGGCTTTCAGATATTGGGGGCGGATTTTGGAATACCTGCATTTGCACATATACATAACAAGATATCTTGGAGATGAAACCCAAGTCTAAACACAAATTTCAGTTATGTTTCATATACAAATTTCAGTTATGTTTCACTATGCATATAGCCTGAAGATAATTTGATACAAATTTTTGGATAAATATTTGTATTTAGGATTTGTAGTTTGTTTTGGCACATGAGCTCTCTGACAGAGAAGGCTAAATATCTACAAAACTACAAATCCCAGAATTCCATAGCACTGAGTCATGGCACTTAAAGCTGTGTCAAACTGCATTACAGTGTTCACTTGGTATCTGCTAGGGTTTGGTTCGAGGACCCTCTGCAGATGCAGAATCCATGGATGGCCAAGTCCCATTAAATACAATGGAATAGTAAAATGGTGTTCCTTATATAAAATGGCAAAATCAATGTTTGCTTTCTGGAATGTATATATTTTTAAAATATTTTCAAGCTGTGATAGCTGAATCTGTTGATAAAGTACTGGTAGATATGGAGGACTGAATGTATTTCTGCAGTGCAGATTATACCGAAGACACTAAATGCACTCTATCCCTCCACTTTCAAAGGTATGGTTGGAACATGGGAAAAGGTCTTCTCTGTGGTTGTTGTTCCTATACTTTGGAACTCCCACCCTAGGGAAGTTTGGATGGCTTCCTCACTGTTGTGTGTTCGGTGGTATGTTAAGACTTTCCTATTTCAGCAATCTATTCCAACAAATGAAAAGTTATTATGAACAAAAGAAGCACTTTTTATGGTGTTTGGAGGGGAGACTGGCAATGAATACCAGGTGCTGTAGGCTATATTTCAGAGGAAGGAATTAGCACTTTTTGAGTACCCTAGCAGATACCAAGGTCCCACCACACACACACACACACACACACAATTTTAAATGGTTTTAATTGTTGTTTAGGATTACGACTCAAGTCCAGGGTTTAATTCTTTGCT